TTGCATCACACACATATTTTCACATCACACGAGGACAGTGGGTGTGGGGATGAACAGTGACTCTGATCTAAATTTCTTGTCTTGTCCATTTCACCCAGGACTCAGCGACAGTCGTTTGACTTGTAATGCAACGACCCAGTAACATGGTTCAGATCGTGCACCGTTTATTGTTGCTCGTTGACCTCGTCTACCTTGAAGCAAAGAGGTCAGGGGAATAAAAATTACAGTTTGTTTTTCCATAGTGGTTTTATAACCAGCCAGAGGGCACCGAACCATCCATTATTCACAGAAAACTCTACCCGTTTCCCAGGTCTCCTGCATCTTAACAAGCTAACCCATTAGCATTCAGTAAGGCAAACTGACACAAAAATAAAACCACCATGGAAATCTCTTTATTTGTAATTGCGCTGCCACTGTTTTACGCGCATTCCAAGTGGGAAGACAAGAGAGGGGAAATTGACTGCTGTGCAAATGAAATTGCAGCGTCTTTACACACTTCTCTGAGGGGAAAAAAAAAGTGGGAAGAAAAGAAACAAATGTACATAATGGATAAGACAAATTCTTCAACTCTTATTCTCTGAAATTGATAAGACCTTCACACAGAGTGAACAGTATTGATTACCACTGCCAAATGACTCTGCCGTGCCTGTTCTTCAAGGCAAATGCAATGGTGAGTCAGTGACAGATAGCAGAATAGGAAATAGCAATCACCCAAACAGCGATGGGCTAAGTCCATTGGGTAAATTGAGTGAAACGCATTAGAGCTTGTTCAACTGATGGGCGCAGCTATTTATTCCCTACAGTTCCTGTGCATCTTCCACTTATAAGTTCTCTCTCACCTTGTCCCCTCTGACTTTAATTATAAAGGAATTCGATACAGTGATCTAGTGTGCAGCATGGCACATGGCTGGTTCCGAGGCCATCAGAGGGATCACCGCGAAAAGGGGAAGATTTCGATTACGGGCCCAAGGCCCACTGTGCAGGAGCTGGGTGCATTTTAAAATCAAGGATTTGGAAATGACAATAATAATAAAAAAAAAAAGAAAAACTCAGACATCACACAGGGCATATAAGAACGGTGTCACATTGATTTCTTCAATCCATGCCTACAGGATGTAGAGTCCAGATCATAAAAAAAATCTGAGAATCTCCTTGGATACGAAGGAGCAAATCTCAGAGAGCAGTGGGGGAAATGTAAAGCTTTGAGGCTTACAGCTGCAGGCAACATTACCAGGACTGAAGGTCCTTCAGAATTTAGTCTGTGTACAAGTACAAACAACTAAAGGTATGGGGTTTTTTTAAAGTAGTATTTTTACAAATATGATACTTTCACTCTGGTTTTTCACTCACAATTTGGAGTCTGATGGTAATGAATTTGAGTTTAGGTTTCCAACCTCTGGTCTGCGGACCGGTACTGGGCCGCAGAGGGAAACACTGGAAAAATTAATAATTTAGTTCATTAAAAACAAAAACAAAAAACAGGGATATCAGTTTTCTTTCTTCATCTAAAGATAATCTGACAATATTTCAAAATAATGTCCTTCAAACTTCAACAGTAACATAATAAAAGATGTTTTATTTTGAAAATTTACCAATCCTCAATGAATACTTAATAATCAACTGTTTTATCAATGTTTTATTTATATAAAACCCCAAAAACATGTTCTTATTGTGTTAAATATTGCTATTGGAAAAACAATCAAATTCATTCCACGTCATTGCAATTATTCTTCTGTTTGATGTCACCACTAATAAATATGTTTTATTTTATTTTTGTTTCTTCTTTTTTTTCAGGTCCCTCCCATTATTTACACCTTTAATCTCTGCAGCCGTTACCAACCAGAACGAACAATTAATCCACCCGCAGTGACTTCTGCCTTTAGCACGGCTGGGCTACAGTGCAGTTACACTGGATTCATTTAGGTCTTAAAGGTAGAAATCGTTACCCCGTATGTACCTCTACATTCATTACGCTCCTAACAGCAAGTCAAGTCCATTCTCTCCTTTCACCTCGCACCCTTTCAACCTTCATTTGCACTGTCAGACAAAGAAATTAGTTCATGAATCTTGCGCGCCCGGGCTTAATTAAACTATGTTATATTTCCCACTACCTGGCATTAATCTCACTGTTGGGGAGGCATAGACAGGAGGGGCGAGGTCTGGTGGGGAACAACTTGGCTAATGGTCTCATTCCAGTGCTGATCTCTCATCTGGTCTGAGGTGGTGTGGAAATGGAAGAATGAATGGGGGCATTAGGACGCTTGTTGTGTGGGCCTGTGCAAACGTGCCCTGAGGCCAAGGAGCAAACATATCCTTGGCACCAAGTGTCCAACAGGAGCAGATGTTGGCTTTAATGCTCGTACATCAGAGGCAAAACTGCAGAAGTAGCCAAATTCTGCAGTAAAAAAAAATATTCGGCATAAAATACACTAAAAAAAAAAAAATCACCACAAAATACAGACCAGGCCAAATATATAAATAGTTTGACTGACTTGTAGAGTCACAGTTTGACGACGATGCACTGAAGAAAGTCGGTAAATTCTTTATACATTACAACTAGTTAAAGCTTCAAAAAAGCTCTGCACATGGAAGCACACAATCCATAATCCTCCCGTGGAACATATTGAATCCTAATGCTTAATTCAAATGCAAAGGCATTTTTCCATCATCTCCTAAATGCTTACCGCAGTACATACTGGTATTATTTTACAAATGTAAATCCTATTAAAAAAAAAAGAAAAAATTCTGAGGGGGAAAAAGTCTATTTTCTGGAGAGGACAGAGACAGAGTGAGCACGGCTGCTGTGCCGGCTAAATTACAGATGTCGTTTCATTAGTTCGAGGCTAGCCCATCTCACGGAAAAATGTATCTAAATCTCTGTGGCATCTCTTTTGCATTATAAATTAGACCGTCAAGCCTTAGCTGCTCTGAAATAAATTGAAGGCGTTCTGTGACATTTTGAAAATGAATCTGTTGTTTTTCCCCTCACACGGCATACATTGCGTCATATTGTGGCTTTAAAAAAAACAAAAACAAAAAAAACAAGGTAGCTTTAGCTGCTGTACCGGGACAGAGCTATCTGGTAGTCTCCATCGCTAGCATTGACTAAGGATAACAGTACAAACAGGCCCATTCCAGCTGAGAAATCTGTCACTTCCTCTACACACAGTAATCTGTACTTAGGAAAACTCGGCTAATTGAAATTGTAAAGACGTTGCTTTCACAAGTCTCTACACAAACAATGCGGCAGCAGCAGCTCATTAAATACAAATCTCTACTTACAGTCAATTCATCCCGGCTTTAATCACTTAGGATTATATATATATATATAGATAGATAGATAGATAAATCTATATATATGCATGTTGGTACAAGAGAAAACACAATTTCCCTAATAGCACCAATAAAGCCGGGTGTTATTTTACATATGCAACGAAACTGCTGTGATTGGATGTTTAACATGCCGGAAGGCGAAGCCCCCGGGGGGAAATGAGTCTGGAGGCAGTGCTCTTCCTTACCGGCATGAAAACACCTGTATCATCAGCAATGTGCAACTCAAGGGCAGCCGGCGCTAGTCTTTCCTCTGTGTGTCTACTGTATTCCATTATGCATGAGGTGAAAGGAGGTGCTCTTTGTCTTGGCTGGAGTTAAGCTGGGGGACCACAGGGGGTGATTAGGACACCATGTACCTTCTGCTGAACACCCACAACAGCTGCTCCGACGTGGGACCCTCCCATGTAATGAATGCTCAATGACTCTCCAAACATTTTGAGGGCAGAACATAACCAAATATGACGACATTTCGACGACATTTTTTTCCTTTAAACCCATACTGACAGATGATAGTTATCTGGTCCTTGAGGCAGATACTGATCATTTTAATCATTTAAAAATTATATTTTTGAGTTTAGAAATAACTATTTGGAGGTCCAACCAAACTGACAATGGTTTGGTCATTATTTTTTCAGTTTTCCAAGTTTTTGGGGACATGCAACAACTCACAGAG